AACAGTGTCTTCTCTAATGACATTTAAATGGGAACTCCTCTTTAGGTAATTTTCTGTCTCACTCTTGCTGCCTTTAAGATTCTTCCTTTGTCTTTAACATTTGCCATTAAAAATACTTTTATTGATTTCAGAGAGAGGAAGGGAGAGTGATAGTGAGACAGAAACATTAATGATGAGAGAAAATCATTGACTGCACACCCCTCATTGGGATCAAGCCTGCAACCTGGGCATTGTCCCTGATCAGAAATTGAGCCATTACCTCCTGGTTCATAAGTCAACGCTTAACCGTTTTGTCATGCTGGCTGGGTTCCTTTGGTTCATCTTGATTGGAAGTCCCTGTGCCTCCCGAATTTGTGTGACTTTTTCCTTCATCAGGTTGGGGAAGTTTTCTGTCACTATTTCTTCAAACAGGTTCTCTGTTCCTTGCTCACATTCTTTCCCTTCTCATATTCCTATGATGCAGATGTTGCGTTTGTGTTTTCCCAGAGCTCCCTTAAGCTATCCTCCTGCTTTTTAATTGTTTTTCTATTTGTTACTCTAATTGGGTATTTATTTCTATATTGACTTCCAAATCACTGACTCAGTCCTCTGCCTTAGCCAATCTACATTTAATTTCTTCCAGTGTGTTCTTAATGTCAGACATATTATTCTTCATTCCTGTCTGGTTCTTGTTTATGGTGTCCATTATCTTTTTTTGCAAGGCAAATATCTTTACTTCTGAAGAAGGGTACATACCAACACAGAGTCTGGCAGCATGTACACTGAACAGGCATTCCACTCAGGCTTTTATGCCTGATGCACGTGATCTGTTCTTCACTCTTGATTGGAAGAGCTTAGGCTCACACTCTTGCGTGATTGGCTAATTTAAAGGAAGGAGTTGACCTTTTCCATTTCATAATGGTGGCCCGCAGGGGAATTGCAAGTCGTATGAGCCAAAATGGTGGCTGTCAAGTCACTCGAGCCAAAATGGCGGTTGCCTAAACTCCCTTTGACAGAATAGATTTCTTCTTTATTCTCACAATTCCCCCCTTTTCTTATTTAACTCTTCAAAGTCGGCTAACATTCATTGACTTTCCTGCTCTGCAGCATCTAGGAGAAGATTATTTTGCTGTTTGGTCAATACGGTTTCAATTAACACTTGGATAAGACCTTTCATACATGGGATGATATAACATCCCATCACTGTAACTCCTAACCTGCTGCCATCACCCACCCCAGTTTTCCGATCAGAGCCTGACAGCTGGGGGGAGGAACTGAGAGGTCAGCTGTTCCACCTGCTCACTGGCCCCACCCCCTGCTGCCACCAACCCTAGTTTCCCACTTGCCATTGGTGATTGGAGCCTGATGGCTGGGGGAAGGGACTGAGAGTTTGGCTGTTCCTGCCTGCTTGCTGGCCCTACCCTCACCATGGGTTGCCCTCTGTGTGTGGGGTGACTGGCAGGGCTGGGGCCTTGGCCTGGTGCCACCCGCTTCCCCCACCACACACCCCCAGTTCCCCACTTGCCTTTGGTGATTGGAGCCTGCCAGCCAGGGAAAAGGACCGAGAGGTGGTTAGTGCACCTCATAGTGACTGGTCGAGTGGTCGTTCTGGTTGTTCCACTGTTAGGGTCAATTTTCATATTATCCTTTTATTATATAGGATAATCCAATCCACATTCTTGTTTATAGTAGACCACCAGAAAAGGACAGATTCAAATCCTGCAGCAATCTGAAACTTATTTGGCACTCTGCTTGAAACCCCAATGGAATCTGTTTAAAGATGGGGATCAAAGGAGCCCCCTGGACTCCCTCTCTTCTGACTGTCCATTGAAAAAGGTTTACAATATGCCAAAGTGAAAGGGATAGCCAATTGCATCAGAGTGAAAGTTCCACTGCAATTGCTGGGCAAGGCCACAATTTATGGTCTCCCACAATACCACCAGAAATCAGCACAGGGTATCAACAGCGCAGAATGATTGGCTTCTGAGGATACTCAGCCGTTTACCATAAACTCCGAGTACTGTCTCTCCCACATTGAGACGCGGGAGGTATAGTTTACATCAGGGGACGAGGGTCGGATCATTTTGGGGATCCTTGCTTTTTAGCTCTGTTGGATGGGAACAACAGGGAGAGAGTCTTACAGGAAGCATTTCCCCAGGCAGTTTGCTCTTGATACAGGGCAAGCATACATTTCACCCTGTTACTGTCTGAAGTCCATCCGAATGGAAATGGGACCACTTGAGACTCTAGCCTTCCTGCCATGCGAGTGTAACAGTCACTTTTATTTAGGGCACATACAGAATATTTAATCCATTCCACCCAGGCATTCATTTCCTTATCTATTTTCATGATGGTGGCAGTGTCAATTTCCTTGGGTGGGGCTACCAGTCTCAGGGCAAACCTTCCTAGGGGATCTTATCCTGTGACATCTCCTCTTAAACCTAGTCCTAGCCAATCTCTTCGCCTAAAGGCTGAATATCCAAGTCATTCCAGTTATCTATAGTTAAGAGCAAGGGATTACACTGTAAATTCTGGTAAGCATTGGGAGGAGTACCTCTATACAGATGATTCTAGTCTTTAGGTGACAACTTTTTATCTGCTGGTCGGGGTATAGCCATCCAGCTCTGGTATTGGATGGTCCACCATACATGATTCCCGGTAGGATAAAGGGATACACCATTCGCTCCCAGTGAAGTATCAGGACACATGTAAATGGAGCAGCCCTGTAGCTGCCTATGATGGTTGAGATCTCCACATAATATAATTTGGCAGGCATCAAATTGAAGGATTATGGGATTATCTCCCTTAATTACATTAATCAATAACTTAACTGGGTAAGCATGATCTGGATTGTACACATTTCCTCAGCCCACATTGTAAGCCCTTGCAATTTTCCAGAGAACCCAGTACATGAGGGTTATTAAGACAACTCACAGGTTTTTTTTGTTAATTTCAAGGGGCTATGCCCTGGTATAGCCATCCAAGTTGGAGTGTCTCCACCTGGAGAAGCTGGTAGTCCACCCTTATCCTGTGTGTGATAGGTCAAACTTCATTCTACAATCCAAACAGCAGTAAGCAAGACAAGGTGCGGTCCTTCCCAGGAGGGTTCCAACTTGTTTGTCTTCCAAGTCTTGATTAGAACAAACGTAGTCTCCCAGTCAGGTGGCAATGAACCAGAAACTCTAGAGGAGGGCTTTGAGCTAGGAGGCCCTTTAATCTGATTGCAGCGGTTCTTGCTTGCTTGGGCCCTTCCTGTGTTGCTGGCTGACTCTCAATCCCGAGCTCATAGTTGGCCAGTAGGTAATGGCTTTTCCTCCTCACTGAGGCCACTGCAACGTGGCAGTGGGGTATACCCAGGAGACAGTTCTAATGGCCCTTTTGCGACAAACAGAATCCCAGATGAGCCCCCAAATTGTTAGAAATCAAGCGAGCCCCCCCCAAATCAGGGGCCCTGGTAGAACACAAAACATACTTGGGAGCCAGACAGCAAGGCAAATATCTTTATTTCTGCAGAAGGGTACGTATCTACAGAGTCTGGCAGCACATACCTGCATTAGGTTTCTTAACTGTCTTTATCATCATTGCTTTGAACTCTACATCTGATAGGTTGCTTGCTTCCATTTAATTTAGTTCTTTTTCTGAACACCCCTCATTTTCTTTCATTTAGGGCTTGTTTCTTTGCCCATTTTTAGCTGTCTCTGTATTTGTTTCTATGTATTAGATAGAACTGTTTCCCATTCTTTGTGTGATGACCTTATGTAGAAAGTGTCTTGAGGGGTCCAATGGTGGTCTATTTGATCTCCTGAGCTGGATGCTCTATGATAGCCCCTTTTGTGCATTATTTGGGCTCCCCTGATTTAACTGAGACTTGATCAGTGATATCCAATTTGTGAGAGGGATCTTCCTTCTGAGTTACTGACAGTGAGGCTCAGCCCCAACCTCATCATTTCACCTCATCATTACAGGTGCTGACAGAACAGAACAAGACACAATAGGACCAAACAAAAAACACCACAAAAATCAAACTATGCAAACAACAACAGTAAAGTCTAAGAAGGAAAAAGAAGAGAAAGCAAAGGAAAGACAAACTAAAAAAACAAAACAAAACTAAAATACATGAGACCAATGACTTAGAAGGCATATAAAGAATAAGGGGGGAAAAAGAAAACTGGCAATATGGGAGCAAGAAAGAAGCTAAAATATTAATTAGTATAGCAATGAAAAAGAGAAGGAAACTGAAATTAAATGAAACAATAATAATGAATTTAAAATGTCATAATAATAGATATATTAATATATAGATAGGAAAAGTTAAATGGAAAAAGAATAGAGAAGAGAAAAATGAAATCAAATGACAAAAAGAATAATGAGACAAAAAAATAGAATCAAAAGAAAAAATAAAGATATGCAAGAAAAAAAGAGAAAAAAGGGGGAAAACAGAGAACAAAAACAAAACAAGAGGCACTACACACACACACACACACACACACACACACACACACGCACCTAAAACCAAAACCATATATACTCACAAACTCAAAAATCTTAGAATCTGTTATTTGTGGAGCTCACTGGATTTTGCTGTTGTTGAATCTGTTTTTTTGGTGTGGTGTGTCTATCCTGGGCCTCCCAGGAGCTTCTCTGGTGCAAGGAAGGCAATATGAACCACTGTCCCTTTTTGGCCCTAGACAACCTAATTGAGGCCCTATAGGTTGAAGCCCCTAGTAGTCCAGCGGGTATGGCTTCCTTAGCCCAGAGGCTGGGTCTGCTTGAGTCTCATGCCTAAAGTGTCCCTGTTCTGAGCTGTTCTCCCTTCCCTGACTGAGCTGGGCTCTGCAGGGATATCCTGGTGTTAGCCAGGATCATTTGATCAGACTAGTGTGGGGAGTGGTGCCAGTAGCTTGTGGGGGTGAGCGGGCACTTCCTCTCCTTCCACTGCCTTAGCCCTGCCTGGCTTGCTGGCTCCTCCTCACCGCCACCTTCAGGGGCACAGATTTCCAGCCCCAAGCTGTTCCTCCTTACTTCAGGTCGCTGCAGGTTGGGTCAGAAGCAGCTGTTTTGCCGGAGGAAAAGAGAGCACCTCCCCTGTGTTCAGGTGGGCAGGATTGACCCTCCTTCCTTGTCCTACTGTCCAGTCCCCTTTCTACTCACCAGAATGAGTTCCTACAGATATGCAGCCTCTTCAGTATCCTCAGGTCCCCAGTTATAGAAGGTCAAAGGAAGAGGAGACTATATCCATCTCCCCGATTTTAGCACAGTTCCTTCCTCTGAGCCCTGGCAGTGGAGCAGAGCAGTTGTGGCAGCACAGTAGGGACAGCCATAGGTAAATCCACAGCAGTGTTGAGAGTCTTGTCGAGTCAGTGGTGGTCGTGCAGGTCCGAGCAGTGTCCTTGGCCATGCACAGGGTTTGGGACGGGGTGCACATGGGTTCAGACTGGCTGCGGCAAATTTGGGTGGTAGCAAGGCTGGGTGCCTAGCAGCTGCTGCTCCCCGCAGCCTCATCCCAAGAAGGACCTTATAAAACTTTTAAGATGGCACAGTCTACAAGCCAGAGCCATGTCCAGGGAATGGCTCTGGCAGTAGTAGTGGCTCCCCAGCCAGGAGAGCCTGGATCACCTGCCCCTGAGATTCCTGTGTACAATCTGACACCCACCCCTCCCACACATACGCACGCACATCGATATACTCACCCTCTCACTCACTTCCTCATTCACGCTCACCCTCACCCTCACTCTGGTCCTGCTAGGAGCCATGTTGGAGTCCCTGGAATTTCTCATATCCTTTATTTGCCTCCTTTTTCTTACTTTATTTTTTATTTATTTTCTTTCTTTCACTTTATCTTTCTCTCCTTTTAACATTTTCATAATTTTTTGTGTCTTCTTTTTAAAAATATATATTTTATTGATTTTTCACAGAGAGGAAGGGAGAAAGATAGAGGGTTAGAAACATCGATCAACAGCCTCCTGCACACCACCTACTGGGTATGTGCCTGCAAACAAGATACATACCCTTGACCGGAATCGAACCTGGGACCCTTCAGTATACAGGCTGACACTCTATCCACTGAGCTAAACCAGTTAGGGTTGTGTCTTCTTTTTTATTACTTTCCTTTTAAATGATATAGAGACTAAAAGAACAATACAAAAGATCAATAAAACCAAGACTTGGTTCTTTGTAAAGGTAAACAAGATTGAAATGTTTCCAGAAAAAATGGACAGCAACATGCAAAAAATGAAGCTAGACCATCAACTTACACCAAACACAAGAATAAACTGAAAAATCTATAAAATACTTAAATGTAAGTCACAGAGCCATAAAAATCCTAGAAGAAAACGGAATAAAATCTCAGACATCTCTCGGAGCAATATTTTTGCCGATATGTCTCTGAGGGCAAGAGAAACACAGGAAAAAATAAACAAATGGTGCCCTGACCAGTTTGGCTCAGTGGCTAGAGCATCAGCCTGTGGACTAGAGTCCCAGGTTCGATTCTGGTCAAGGGCATGTCCCTTGGTTGCAGGCACATCCCCAGTAGGGGGCTTGCACAGCCTGACCAGTGTGGTTCCATGGTTGAGCATCAACCTATGGGCCAGGAGGTTACATTTCAATCAATTCTCAGTTGGGGCACATGCCCAGGTTGTGGGCTAGATCCCTAATGAGAGGCGTGCAGGGAGGCAGCCGATTGGTGGTTCTCTCTCATCATTGATGTTTCTATCTCTCTCTCCCTTTCCCTTCCTGTCAATAAAAATATATTTTTAAAAAGCTTCTGTAGAACAAAAGAAACCATCAACAAAATGAAAAGGGAACCCATTGTATGGGCAAACATATTTGCCAATGATTCATTTGATTTCGGGTTAATCTCCAAAATATATAAAGAACTTATACAACTCAACACCAAGAAGATAAACAATCCAATTAAAAAATGGGCCAAGGACCTTGAATAGACACTTCTACAAAGAGGACGTACAGATGACCAACAGAAATATGAAAGGATGCTAAGTGTCACTAATCATCAGAGCAATGCAAGTTAACACCACAATGAGATATTACCTCACACCTGTCAGACTGACTATCATCAATAAATCAACAAACAACAAGTGTTGGTGAGGATGTGGAGAAAAGGAATGCTCATCACTGTTGGTGGAAATACAGACTGATGCAACCACTGTGGAAAACAGCATGGAGTTTCCTGAAAAAACAAAAAATGGAACTGCTTTTTTACCCAATGATCCCACTCCTCAGTATATATCCTAACAATCCCTAATCGCCAATCAAAATGATAATATGCACCCCTACATTCATAGTAGGGTTATTTACAATAGCCAGATCTGAAAATAGGCTGAGTGCCCGGCAGTAGATGAGTGGATAAAAAAGCTGTAAAAAAAAAGAAAAAGGCAGTGGTATGTGAACACAATAGAATACTACATGTCTGTAAAAAGAAGGAGCACTTAAATTTTGCAACATCATGTTGGACCTAGAAATTATTATGCTAAGTGAAATAAGCCAATCAGAGAAAGTCAAATACCATATGATCTCACTAATATGTGGAATATAATGAACAAAATAAACTGATGAACTAAATAGAACCAGAGGCATGGATACATTGAACAGACTTACAAATGTTAGAGGGGAGGTGGTTGAGGGGGACCGGATAAAGGAAGGTGAAGGGAGTAGTTAAAAAAACATACATGCATTTCCCAGAGAGACAGACGATAGTGGAGTGATGGCCAATCAAGGCTGAGTGGAGGTGGGCAAAAGGGAGAAAATGGGAGATCTCTGAAATAGTGTCAACAACAAAAAATTTAAATAAAAATAAATAAAAACAAAAAAAAAAACACCTCTTAGGGTTAAATTACAAAAAATTTATTATGATTGCAGTGGTAATCCTTGAAAAAAGAAATAGGTCTGCTGTGTTTTTCTGCCCCCCAACACCCAAATGAGGCTGGGGAGAAGAATGGGAATAGGAAAAAAGTGTAGAGAGTAAGCTGATGGAAAATTTATCATGACAAAGAGAAGCCAATATTAGTATAAGTGTTTTATCTCATTCCTGAAAAGTTTGGTTTGAGAGGATAAATTAAAAATAAATTAAGGTTTACCAGAGGGAAAGGAGGGTAGGGGGAGGCAGAAGAGGGTAAAGGTGGGACTTTGGGTGGTGAACACTCAATATAATATACAGATGATGTACTACAGAACTGTCACTTGAAAACTATATAATTATATTGACCAATGTCACCTGGTAATTTCAATAAAAATTTAAGAAAAGTATATTAAGGTTTAAAAATAGGCAATATAGTCACACGATTCAAAAATCAAACTGATACTAAAAGATATTTATTTATTCTTATAAATATATTTTTATTGGTGATAGTATTACAGATATCTCCCATTTACCCCTGTTTCCCCCCCCTCCTCCCAGCACCTACCCAACACTCTAAGTCTTCAAAACACTATTGTCCATGTTTGGTTTATCTGTTCTTTTTTTTTTAATGTATTTTTATTGATTTTTTACAGAGAGGAAGGGAGAGAGATAGAGTTAGAAACATCGATGAGAGAGAAACATCGACCAGCTGCCTCCTGCACATCTCCCACTGGGGATGTGCCCACAACCCAGGTACATGCCCTTGACCGGAATCAAACCTGGGACCCCTCAGTCCGCAGGCCGACGCTCTATCCACTGAGCCAAACCGGCTTCGGCAAGGTTTATCTGTTCTTATTCCCCCAAACCCACATTGAGATATGTCAGTCTATTCAAAGCCTCTATGCTTTGAGTCTTATTTTGTTGGTCAATTCATTTTGTTCATTAGATTACACAAATAATGATACTTGTTTTTCTCTGACTGGCTTATATTGCTTAGCATAATACTCTCCAAATCCATCTATGCTGTCCCAAAGGGTAAGAGATACTAAAAGATATAAATGCATAGTATTCCATAGTGTAAATATACCATAGCTTTTTTATCCATTCATCTACTGATAGGCACTTGAGATGTTTCCAAAACTTTGCTATTGTAAATAATGCTGACAAAGGCATAGGGGTGTATATATTCTTTCTGATTAGTGTTTTGAGGGCTTTTAGGATATATTCCCAGAAGTGGGATTGGTGGGTCAAATGGAAGTTCAGGTTTTAATTTTTTGAGGAAACTACATAGTGTATTCCATAGTGGCTGCACCAATATGCATTCCAACCAGCAGTGAACTAGTGTTCCCTTTTCTCCACATTCTCGCCAGCACTTGTTGTTTGTTGATTTGTTGATGATAGCCGTTCTGACAGGTGTGAGGTGATATCCCATTGTGGTTTGAATTTGCATTTCTGTGATGATCAGTAACTGAGCCTTTTTTTATGTGTTTCTTGGCCATTTGAATGTTCTCTTCAGAGAAATGTCTATTCAGGTCTTCGGCCCATTTTTTAATTGCTTTGTTTTTCTTTCTTTTGTTGAGTTGTACAAGTACTTTATATACTTTGATATTAACCTCTTATTAGTTGTATCATTGGCAAATATGTTCTCCCATTCATAAATTCCATTTTCATTTTGATGGTGGTTTCTTTTGCTGTGCAGAAGCTTTTTATTTATTTTATTACTAGAGGCCTGGTGCACAGAATTTGTGCATGGGTGGGGTCCCAAGGCCTGACTGGTGATCAGGGCCTATCAGGACCATCTTGCCCAGTCCCGATAGGGGCCAAGCCAGCTGGGGCCTGCTGGCTGTTGGCTGGGGCTTGGGGACCTGCCAGTCGCCGGATGGGGCCTGCCAGAGGGGGCCTGCTGGACAGGGAAGGGGCAAAGGGAGGGACCGCGGGAGGTTTGCCGGCCAGGGAAGGTTGGCTAGCCATAGGATGTTGGCTGTGGGAGTGCACTGACCACCAGGGGGCAGCTCCTGTGTTGAGCATCTTACCCTTGGTGGTCAGTGCGCGTCATAGCGACTGGTCAGCTGGTTGTTCCACTTGTTCGGTGGTAAAGGTCGCTTAGGCTTTTATATATATAGACTAAAGGCCCAGTGCACGAAAATTTGTGCACTCGGGGGTTGGTCCCCTCAGCCCCACACCCTCTCCAATCCAGGACCCCTTGGAAGATGTCTGACTGCCTCTTGCAATCCGGAACCACTGGCTCCTAACTGCTTGCCTGCCTGCCTGCCTGATTGCTGCCCCTAATCACCTCTGCCTGCCTGATCACCCCTAATCATCTCTGCCTGCCTGCCTGATCACCCCTAACTGCTTCCCTGCTGGCCTGATCGCCCCTAACCACCTCTGCCTCTCCCCGCACCCGGGACACAGGATTCCCTCCTCCAACCGGTCACAAGCACACAGGACCCAAGCTGGCTTTGTCCGGGCTGGCCGCAGCCACAGGGAACCGTGGGCAGGCGGCTTCACCAGGGCCATAGCCGCAGGTGCCCGGGACGATGGGGTGAATGGCTTGTCCCTCTCCCAGACCACAGCCACATGCGCTAGCACCCAGGACTGTGGGGTGGGCAGCTTTTCCCTCTCCTGGGCTGCAGTCACAGCCACTGGTGCCAAGGACCATCAGGTGGGTAGCTTGTCCTTCTCCCAGGCTGCAGGAGCAGGTGCAGCTGCTGGTGCCCAGGACCGTGGGGTGTGCAGCTTGGCTGGTCCCCATTCCTCTCTCATGAGCTCATTTGTTCCTGGCTGGTCCCCAGTCCTCTCTTATGAGCTCATTTGTGCCTGGCTGGTCCTCATTCCTCTCTCCCCAGTGTTGAGTGTCT